CACCGATGGAGGCGGAGGTCCCACGTAAGGAGCAGACCTGCATATCAGGAGCAGATTTAGATCGTAATAAAATACATTTATTTTGGAGGAGGCCGTAACCAAACCACCCAAACTGTAAGTGATAACTGAATGAACTCCATTTACAGACTTTGACAATGCCAGCTAAATACTTTTGCTGTTGTATGCAAGTAAACACACATTTTGTTATCGTATTGTTGTTACATTTTTTGGAGAAATATTACTTTGTAATTGTTATCAATGTCAGTAGAGTATATCATTGTTTTATGGTTTAAATCATCCTTGACAGTGCTTTACTTTCTTTCAGCTATTTTATCAGCCCGTTAAACGGCTGTTATCAGTTGAATTGTGGGGGAACTTCCACCAGCAACTTTATGAAAGGCTTGCAGTTTTAATAAACTTCACTTTCATTTACACAATGTCACATAATGTTAGGTAATGTAGCGTAAAACAACATAAATAACGGACGCTAGTTGAGCTTAGTTAAGTTATAACTCACTTTTAGTTTAATGCACAACACATGTAGTACAGCTAAGAACAAATGGACACAACCTACTTGTGTTTGGATTGGTCGGGAACCATAAATATAGATGTGTACTTCATCTAATTATTTGGGTAGCAGGCCCCTTCTTAACCATATTTAGGAGGCTCTTCATCTCTGATAATGTAGTAGAAACGTAGAAAATGTAACAAAATATTGGGATTAACTCGTCACCTGGCAAGCTAAAAACAAGAAGCTTCAGCTTTGCACTACATACAGTATGTAGCAGTTTTCTGGTGTTTCCAGCCGCCACCAACTCATTAGCGGGGTAACATTGAGCCACATAAGGTTCAATCTGACTCTAACACATCTCCTCTTAAGTTCATCCACCCATCGCCTTGTATCTGAAAAGTGTTCAGGGGGGAAATAAACCCCGTTCTTATCTCTGCCTGCAGCTGCCCTGTGGTTAGGTCGCCCCACATGGCGAGCGCTGCTGTCAACGGGAAAACGCCGCCGGGGAGGTCATGTGAAGGAGCTGAGAGCGGTGGGAATGAGTGCAAAAGACTGACGTGTGCGCTGTCACACACATACGACAGTGGCGGGGCAAGATGGAAACTCAAAGGTCGAGTTCTTTTCGCCTGCGTGACAACAAACATCAGCCTGCAGAAGGGCGGAGGTGCCGCTCTATGAAGGGACCCTGACCCTTGACCTCGGTTAATTCCCCTTCAGGGATCAATATACATCGCAAACATATGGAGACATCATATAGAATCAGCATTATAATGCAAAGCTGCAGATCTTTGGGGGAACAGGAACGCTGACTTTGCCACGAGACAAAGGTTACTGACTTAACCTGTTCTGACATTTGCCCTGTAGTGTGGGGAGGTCGGTGCTACACACCAGTTATTTTTCTCAATCTGTTCCATTATAATCAATTTAAGGTTAAGGAACTGCAAACCTCTGATGGCATTAACATTTGAAATATAAGCTGAATAATAGATAAGGGCTATTAAAAGCAAAATGCTCTATCATTTGTCATACAGAGCAGTTTTCATAAAGGCAAAGGGTGGTCTCGTTTTGCATGGAGACACAATGTGAGTAATTATATGGACAGCTAAATAAATGATAATGGGAAGATGATATTTACATACACAATTGTTTGAAATACATCATATATTTATTAGAGAGGGCAGTCTAGGCAAGGGCGATGTAAGAATGACACATTACATAAAGTGAATGGCTGCTAAGTCAGCAGTTTTTTTTTGTTTAGCTGATGATAAAAAATGTTTTTGACTATGTGACTAAATATATGAGACAGGCATCATGTTACATATTTCAAAGCGGCTTTATTTATTTTAACTATTTAATGTAAAAAGATTGGTTCAATGTGATATCGGCATTATGTTTTAATTATTGAAACCCCTCTTTTCATTGTTTTTAAGTGAAATGCCAAAGATGTGATACATATTGTATTTAACTCTACTTCAAGCCCATTTTGAATATTTAACACTGCAGATCTTTTTTGTATGTGTTTGTCAAAATGAATGATGGACAGGAACATCTGTTAACGGGAATAATGTATGCTATTAATTGCAAATGTTGCATAAAATTGCTGAAAATGTGTGCAGAAGCATCAAGTTTGACTTATTTTGAAGCTGAAAATGGTTTGTTTTTGTATGCAGATACATCTTAATGTTGTAATTGTGCTCAGACATGGTTTATTTCTCAACCAACAAACAGGATGAATATGTCACTATATTTATTATTTAGTTTGAATATGGTTAACTTAATTCTTGATATAGCTTTACTTTTGTGGTTTTGCAGTGTGTCGGACTGGAAACACTTTAAATATGCATCTGGAGGCATTTCAGTTTAAAACTAAGAAATTAGACAAAGTATTAAGTTCCTACAGTCATCTTTTACGACAAAAAAATGATTCTTGGAATATATTGGTGTATGATGAGTTTAAAAAAAAAAGTCATTTGTGTAAACGTGGACCGTGATTGGCTCTGAGGTCATTGTGATGTGATCGCAAAGGGAAAGGAAGCAAAACACAGAAACTGTCAATAATGAAAGTGTACGTCTGTATATAGAGCCAGAGTTTGTTCAAAGTCAAGGAGGAAAACCACCTTATTCTGAATGAGGTTAAAGGCGGTCTGAGGTGACCCAGAAAAGTGATCGCAGCTGCACGACCCACAATGCCATTTGTTTAAGAAGCACCTTCCTTAAACAAGAGAGCAGCTGGATTCTAAAAGTCCTTGATTAGAAACCAATTCAAGTGTGTTCTCTTTAGCGGACACTCTTTTTTCAAAGACCAAAGTGTTCAAGCATCATCCATGTCAAGTGGCGGGACCGTGTCGCCCCGGCAACAGGAAGAAGCTATTTTGAGCCGTTGGGACACTGCCCCTTCTTACGGAGCCACAGCCTTATGGTGGGCTTTGTGAATGGCTTGGAAGTGGCACAAACTGGCATGTAGTTGCAGGGAGGTGTATCCTGCTGCTACAAACACACTTTCATCTCGGCCATTAACTGGTTATTTATGCACAAGCAAGCAGGGGAGAGAATAAACACTAACAAAAACTGACGTTGTAGAGCAGATATAAAGTAGTTGCCATGCAGTATGAAGATATGAAATAGCTTGTTGATTTGCCATCCTTACATGGGGAATGTAGGCTCATCTGTCCAGAGTTACAATAGAGCTGCAGGACTGTTGAAGTTGAGGACTTAAAAACCACAGTGTAAGAGAAATGGCCCCGTGGCCCTTCATGTTCCTAGACTTAAGTACCAATAATTAATACACTTATACCAACAGAAGAGAACTTGGCAGATCAATGAGGTTGCTCTTGTTTTTAAGGGCATAGATTAGTTAATATTACGACTTATTCAGAAAATAAAGCAACCGGTCGATAAGTCGATTGACAGAAAAAGAGTCCTGGACTATTTAAATAATTTATGTTGTTGTGTTGCGCATTTCATTTTTAAAACAAATGCTGTTTTCAGCCTCTAAAATGTGGGGAGGTGCTGCTTTTATCTTATTTATATCATGTTCAAGAATATCTTGAATTTTCTTTTGAATAACCAAGGATTTTTGGATGACATTTTTTTTACTTTGAGAAACAGAGATGACATTTTTTTTACAATTTACTCACATTTTAAAGTAATTCATCTATTAATTTATAAAGAAAAGTGGCAAATTCATCAAAAAGGAAATGAGTTGAAGCCCTATTTAGAGCTGAAAAGCTTCTGTCGTTTGGTGATGTAGCATATTAGAATAGACATCCAGCCCCAAAGCAAAAGGTTTTCCTCCCCTTCCACTGGGAGGTCAGGGGAGACGTCCACCCAGAGAGCAGCCCTGAGGATTCGGCAGGGAGTCCATGTTTAGCTCAAGAACCCCTCAGCAGGACAGATGCACCATGGGATCGCGACCCGTTATCCTACGGCTGAACTTTGTCGTCATTTCTACATCTGATGTGCATCTTCTAAACACACAAACCTCTTCATCTGTTTTTCAAACTACAGACAATGTTCCTGATCATGTTTTAAGCTCCTGAGAAATCCTCTAACGCCTCATTAGAATGCCTCACGAGTCAAAGCTGTAATTGCACACCCACATCAATTACACAGTAATGTCCCCCATTTCACTGTGTTTATTTCCCTGAGACTGCAACCAGCCGTTCTTTCAGGCTCAATCGACAACAAAACACAGAAATCCCCACGGTATTTGTTTACAACGAGCCACAACCTCCCCTGAGGTGGCACAAGGTACAAAACAAGACACACGAGTCAGGCTCGACTTGACTGGCTGCCTAATGGCTGCAGCGGCTAGTCTGGAGCTCACTGTGTGAAACAAATGTGAAAGGACAACATGATTTCTGAAGGTCAATTTTCGGCTGCTGTGTCTGACTGTAAAAGTCGCAACAAACTTTTCTCCACATTGCACTGCCACTGCCTGCAGACGGGCCTTTGTTCAGGCAGTGCTGATGTGTTGATGTTTAGATACAGGGCCCATGGACCGATCTGAGAACACACACTCATATTCACTCTCAAGATTCAGTCTCATCTGCCTGTGGCTCTCCTGCTTACATTTTGTTTCTTTCAGATTTTTTTATTCCAAATATAGTTAATGTGGTCAACAAAATACAGTAAACTGAAATATGACAGGGTAGGGTTGCACACCACACTCCAACCAGGGAAGTGGAAGTTACATGGGAAGCAACTTAAACCACTTTGCAACCAGAAAGCTCCAATTTTGAAAGTACCAAAACAACAATTTACTTTTCTTCTTTAAGGATATAGTGAACACCTTGCAATAAACGCATTGTACATGTTTGTTATCATTTTATATACACTTTACTGTTATGTTTACATTACACATGTTACTGTGTACTCTTCCCTGCATTTGTTTCTTCTTAATATGTTTCTCATTTGCAATTTCCATAATTTGCACCTAATTCTGATCATCCTGATTGTGAACTCAAAGCACTTTGCACTTTGTACTTACGGGTGCCATCGAAGCGGGTGGCGATGGTGTCCAGAAAGGTGTTCTGAGGGGCCAGGAGGCCCTTCATCACTGGCATCTTGACCCAGACGTGGGACGGCCAAAAGCTGGCTGGCGGTCACACCATCCCAGAGGCACGACAGGGGGCTTCCAGGGGCTCTCAGCAGGTGCAGGACACTTTGAGGGTGACAGTTCGGCGCTGGTTGCAGGGTCACACATTTACAGTAAAAGCGACCTCTCCCCCCCCCACACACACCTTCCTCCAAGCGATGCCTCTCCCAAAGACAACAGTGCAGTCTGGGAGGACTAAAATAGCTCACTCCAACAATGCAGAGGGTCCAGGTGTGTGCAGCCTAGAAATGAACAGTAGCAATCACCAGCAGCTGCTCAGTCAGCAAAGAGAGATCAAGTCCAGGTGACGCTGACATCCAGAGAGCTTCAGATCACAGCTGTTGCTTGTCGGCACTTTTCAAGAACCAAGGGCTCATTCCTGCAGGAACATGGTGGAAGTTATCCTTTAAGTCCACAGCTTCACTCTTTAAGGAGGGGGGAACAAATCTGCAAGACAAAAATGACAGAACATGTGCTCCTACACCTCTGACACCCCACAGCTCAGTGCCGTCAGGATGCTGTGCCACAGTAGTTGCATCTTCTCTCTCTCTCTCTCTCTCTCTCTCTCTCTCTCTGGCTACCATCCACTCCTCTAATATCCCAGCCAATGAGATGATGGCATCCTCTGTGGGGACCTGTTTTCATCTGTGGTGGGGGGGATAGAGAGAGAGGAGAGAGGGAGAGAAGGAGTGAAAGCAAGTTGAGGGAGGGGAGGGAAAGGAGAGAGGGAGGGAGGATGCTTTCGGAGCAGCTGACAGCACCATTACACCCCAAGGTGCTACTATCAGCACATGGCTTTTGTGTGCATGTCCGCTAAAGAAGGAAAGATGGATTACCTGCATGTCGCTCAGTGCAGGCTATTGTGTTCACTTTGACGGTGTGCTATTGTGTTGATTCGTCTTGTCCGGCTCGAGGGGAATGGTGGTTTGTGTGTGTGTGTGTGTGTGTGTGTGTGTGTGTGTGTGTGTGTGTGTGTGTGTGTGTGTGTGTGTGTGTGTGTGTGTGTGTGTGTGTGTGTGTGTGTGTGTGTGTGTGTGTGTGTGTGTGTGTGGAGGGGACAGGATATATTCAGGTTCATTCTTGTACCTGCATATACACTTTGCTAAGTGACAGAGCTGCACGAGGAGTGAAGCCCAAATTATATCAATCTTCGAATAATGTTGTTTGTTTTTTGTCTCTGCTTGAGAGGGCTGGTCACTGTTGCCCTCACAGCCCTTACAGTATCCTCATGAAAGAATTAAGGCTCTGGGATGAGAGCGGCTAAGAGCGGATTAACAGGATAAGCCCGGAGATGTTTTTCATGACGACTTGATACTAGACACACCAAAGTAAAGTCACAACTTAACTCACTTTTACAAAGCTCTGCCAACGAGGAAAACACCACGAGATAGTGAAGTAACACAAATATTTATCATATTGTGTTATTATTAATAAATTGTCAGCAGAAACCTCATTCGATTTTTTTAGTAATGAGGGGAAAGATGATCCCACTATTAAACTAATTGATTAAACCGTCATTAAATATTAATTATTCCAAAAGAAACCTGATAATTGGGGGACGTTTTAAAGTAGACGTGTCCTCTTCTTTGGATAAGTGAGTATGGTCCTTATGTTAAGTGAAAGCACATGTTGATGTCTGCAAGGTTTTCTTTTTGCAGTTTTTTTGATTTGAGTGTGTTCATTTTAAATTGGACTATGGAAAGTTTTCAGTATGGACTGAGTCTTTCTGAAAAACGAGGTGTTTCTATTTTGGTCTCTGTGATTTATGTGAAGCCTGAGGATAGATCCAACTATGGCGCTCGGGTAGTATAGATTGTTCCAGAAGCTAGAATCCCTACCAAGAACTATATATCATTTTGAGTTTTTTATTTATTTATTTCAGCACCCTCACTCTTAAAGTTAGCATGACACAACTGTCTTAAGTGATGGTTTAGGAGGATATTAAATAACCTACATGTAACATGAGTTTGAAACTTGGATATTTTTAAGTCTCTCTATCTGCAAAAAAAACAAGACAATAAATAAGAATTACAATCTTCACATTATATCTCCTAGACCCTGCATCAACTGTAGCTTTATGCAAATTGTAAGCAACAATGTATGAGAAAAGAAACTGAAATAGATACACAAGTTTCAAAAGCAATCTGGGAAAAGTTGAGCAGATTCAGCCGCTGTGTGGGCGATTCCTCGAGCCAGAAATGAAGTTTGTAATCTGTAGGGAGAATAATGTGTTTGATCTTTATGGACCGTCCCGGCAGCACTTGCAGATCTCTGAGATGAGGTCAATGAAGTGGTGAACGGAAATTACCTCTCCGAAATCATTTCTGAAAAAGCAGCAACAACAACATGTAGGAGAAGATCATTTCCTGAGCTGATGATCACTAATATTCTTTCAGTCAGAAAATGTTGGAGAGAAAAGGTGATTAAAAATGCAGAATCCAGCTGGCAGCAAAGGTGAGCTGTTTAGAGAATGGAGGAGAAAAAAAAACAGTGAAAGTAAAAGGCTGGCCCTCAGACAGTAACAAAGTATTTTTCCCTTCACGGATCCTATTCAAGCCCTGGCAGCCCGTCACTGCTATCTATTTTTAATGGCTTCTCATTGTCCTTTCCTCTTGTAGTTCATCCATCTCTGCTTGTCGCCAATAGAGAGGCTAATGCATTAAACATGCACACTACCTACATTCTAATACGACCGAGTGACCCCACAGGCGGCCAAGTGAAATACTATCCCAAATACATTTCCCACAATCCTCAGCTCTGCCTGCACTGCTGGTATTTCCCCACATTTAGTTGTTTGAGGTTAAATCTGACGAATATTCCTCTATTTCAAATACAAATGTGGGTAAATTATTTGCTTAGATTTACAAAAAGAACTCCAACTGAAGATATATTTTATATTTGCAGGAAAATCCCTATAATAATCCAGACTGTGGGATCAATAAGCTTTAGAGCTGGCATCATTCACTCAACATGTGAAATCCCTTCTCTAAATGAAATACATCTCCGTCCTCCAGTAAACCCATTGAGAAATCAGGCCTGTCATTCTCAAATCTCTGCTGTTTACATTGAATTAACTGGTGACTGAGCAGATGTGCTTAGGAGCTCTGTGTGTTTGTTTGTGTTTGTTTATGTATGTGCGTCTGTGTGTGTAAATCCTCCAGGCACGAGGATGATAGACAACAATCTGTCATAAATAAACATAACATGCTGTAAACTGAAACTGTGCTTTATTAACTACAGTATGCTGTCATGATGTATTACGTTGGAACTACTGTACAGTCAGGCGCAACTATAATACAGCTTTTGTAAAATCAAACATTTCACAAAGTCTTTATTTATTTCTATATATCGATGTGATTTGAGAAGCATTATTTTAATGTAAGTTTCTTTTTAGTTGTATGGTGAAACTTGAAACAATAGTTACAAAAATACACCCTGCAATAGGTTAGCTTAGCTTAGCTAAAATACTGGAAACAGCTAGCATAGCACATAGGCTACACGTACATTTACTTATTTTCATTTGACTTTGATTTGTCAAATCTCGGCTGAAATGAATGAAAATATAAACCCAAAAGAGGGGCATCATTGACATGTTTGACATTTTAATCAAATAAATGATGAAGCTTGAAATAAACACTATTATAAGAATCTCTCATCGGCCTCTCTGTTTAAGATGGAGGCATTAACAGTTAAAGTTATCATAAAGAATTCACTGATTATGTTTGGACGGAGCTGTAGTGAACAGCATGAGTAACATCTAGTGCAGAAGTCTTACATACCATATGTACTACCCCCCCCTAGTGGTGAAAACAAAGCCCTGACAATGGAAAGTATTGGGAGTAGAGAAAAGTCAGGTATGTGCAGAAACTGCCCACCCTGTGTTTGCTGCCTGCTGTCATGGGACAGTCTGCATTATAATGAATGTTACTCTTAATTTGCTCATCATTTTGAAAGGCTCACTGGAGCCAAAGAGAAACTGGGAGCTCACTCCAGGAGGCCAGCGCCAGGTTATCTTTATATGGTAGTTCAGAAGACAGAGCATGCTGAGATTCATTAACAGTTATGAACACATTTCACAAAGAAATAATGAAAAATTGTAAATCATTATTACCCAATCTACACTGAACAAAAATATAAACGCAACACTTTTGTTTTTGCTCCCATTTTTCATGAGATGAACTCAAAGATCTAAAACATTTTTCTATATAGGCTACACAAAATAACCATTTCTCTCAAATATTGTTCACAAATCTGAAAAAATCTGTGATAGTGAGCACTTCTCCTTTGCAGAGATAATCCATCCCACCTCACAGGTGTGGCATATCAAGATGCTGATTAGACAGCATGATTATTGCACAGGTGTGCCTTAGGCTGGCCACAATAAAAGGCCACTCTGAAACGTGCAGTTTTGCTTTATTGGGGGGGTCCGAAAACCAGTCAACCCTAACCCTAACATGTCATCCACTGACACATTAAAAAATGTTTTAGGGTTTAACCAGTCAGGTTTAACCCTAACCCTAACATGTCACCCACTGACACATTGAAAAATGTTTAAACNGTGTTTTATTGGTAAAGAGAGTTTATAACAAGTCGTTTAGACTTTTTTTTAGAGAGACTCTATCACTCGTGACAGAGGAAACGACTCTGTATTAGAGTTAGGGTGGAGTGTCCACACCGTATATTCTACGACCATATCTGGTCGTACTAATAACGTGTCCACCACGGAATCCGACCGGTGTTATTTTCCGGTGAGACTTTGCACGTCAAAGCGTTGTGTATGTAGAAAATGTTTTAGATCTTTGAGTTCATCTCATGAAAAATGGGAGCAAAAACAAAAGTGTTGCATTTATATTTTTGTTCAGTGTACTTACAAACACATCCAGTCTGTGACTTCTGTTTATCAGTAGGAAAATAAAGGGACAACAAAGACACCCATGTACTGCTTTAGAGTCCATATTTACTAAATAAACCACAAAATGAAAACTATTAATAAA